TCACGTAGAATGTTGTGCTGTCCTGTGATGTTCCGCCAAGTTTTATCGTAGCTTTGAATGATCCTAACAGCTTAAGCGGTGTAGCGCTCCCGTAAGCTACGAACGTTTTGTCAGGATTCGGATCTTGATTGGTAACTTGAGCGTTATCTCTGTTCATTCTTTCCTAGGTTTGATCCGTTATGAGATTGTGCTTGCAGCCCGAATCTATCAACATCTCCACGTTGCTTCCACCTATGTTACATATGGTTTTTGCGTCGTTCTCGATATTGAAAATGTAGTCGACTTTTCTTCCATCCGTGCTTATGTTTGCAGTTTCTTCGATATTATTTGTTGTCCTGCTTTTCTTCTTTATTCCCTCACTCTTCGATGATGCTTCTCCTTCCAATTTTCTCTTCTGAGTTTGTCTTGTCCGACATTGATTTCTGAAGTGTCCTAAGATGCCACATTTAAGGCAAGCCTTTCCTTTTGCCGGGCAGTTGTTGTCACGGGCCAAATGTCTGGAACTTCCACATCTACTACATTCCAATCTGTTTTTTTTGCTTTCCCTTCCATGTCTCTGTATCTACTTTGTTGATTGATTGAGTTTCCACGGGTTTCATACCAAAGTTTCCTAATTGACGATCTATGGCTTCCAATGCATTCGCTTCTGCAACTATTTCATCCAAAGTGATCTTGTCCCCTGTTTTCAATATCTTCTCTCGGAGTTCTTCTGTCTTACCCTTTTCAGTTATTTGATCTATGATATGCTCGTCTTCTTTTTCACCAAACTGACACTTCTTAGCCTGTAGTCGAAGTTTGATAAGAAATTTTTCGAACTTCTCATCCTGTTCTTGTTTTAGGAGATGAAACAGGTGTCGCTCATACACTTTGCTCTGTTTAGGTGCAAAGTAGTTGTCTAATTTTCCGATCGCAATGTTAAAAAGTTCGCCTTCGGTTGCATTAGCTCCCGGGATGTTGTAGAAGATTTCTTGTAACTCGGGACCCCCTAAAATGTAAAAGACTAGCTCTTTTCTTTGCTTCGGTGTCTATGCCTGCCGCCTCGAGATAAATGTTCAGACTTCTTTTCCATCTTTCCCAACGGACAGAGACTGAACCAACCTCCCCTTCACATTCGAACCTCTCTAAGGTATATTGTGCCATTGTAGCTACCTGTTGACAAGAGAAGTATCTATGTTGCATATTTATGTTTTTTTTTTTTTTTGGTCACGATCTAATTGTATTGTAATCAAAATGGTAATGTGGCTGTAACAATAAACACTTTTACATATATATTTTATCGATTACCGTGAAAACTTAGCAATTTAATGCCATATAGGGGTATGTCCGCAATTTAATGCTATACTGGTACCACCCCTGTAATTTCCTGCTCAGTCGCAATTGAATGCCCAACCGCAATTTAATGCAAAGTCGCAATTCAATGCCAATCGCAATTTAATGCCAAGTCGCAATTTAATGCCCAGCTGCAATAAAACTGCTTACCGTACTATACTTTCGGTAATTATCGAAGAACCTTTATTTTAATAAGTAGGTAGTAAGGTTGACAAATATGTACGTATGTCACTCCCTTGAAATACTCTCATAAAAACCTAGGTTACCTAAAAACGTTAACAAATCATTACCTACGTAACTCATGGTCAAAATAGGCTTGCCAACCATAATTTAAGGAAACTAGGATTATAAGCCACAAAGTAGCAATAAGTAGAAAAAAAAATATAAGACTGATATTTAATCCACAAGCTGTGTGGTCCGTTACCATGGATACCGTCTGTTCGTAACGTTGTCGGTAAAGGTAGCAAAAGTGGCATGCGTTTTAAAATACATAACCTTATTAGGCGCTTTAAAAACCCAGGAGTCCTTAAAACTATCTAGGACGGTTGGCAACCCTAGGCCAAATGAGTATACTTGCCTAGTTACTTTACATTTCCTTCTGTTCTTCATTATGTCACAGATAGATAAATACCGTCACGTCACCTGAAGTTATATCATCATAGTTACCTAACTATGGTAGTAGTAAATAAATACATACTTTATTTTGTAGGTAAGTAACTAATATTAATATATACTATGGACTTAAATTACCTAGGTAAGTACCTAATTTGATTAACGAAAATCGTGGCTCTGTGATTCCTTTTACCTATTAAATTCCTTGCACATAATAATTACTAAGGCTCGAACTCAAGTAGGTAAATACCTAACCTGTAGGTTAGCCACGGACCTCTAACCGAATGAAGCAACCGTTTGTGAAGAAACCCAGTGGGTTATTACGCCATGTACCTACATGACAATGACTGCTTGGTAGCTAGTTTGTTATGCACGAAATAATAGCCAGTGCCTCGTGGTCTGTAAGGTTTTCCTTTTTCAACGGTTATAGTCGGATAGTACTTAAAAGTATTTTGTCCACGTATTTTTCCTAGCCTTTCTTTTGTTATAAATGTAAAAAAAAGTCCTTAAAATACTCACAGTTTATCTCGTCGCCACATGTAATGTGCACTATTACCCAAGTTAATATTCAATGAGAACAAGTAACACCTATAACGATATGTAACTAGTACTTAATCTGTGAACGATATCGGCTCGCAGCCAGCGTACACGCGTCTTCTCCTCACCGCGGTCGGTCGGCCTCTCCCGCCCCCGCCCCGCGACACCGCGCGCGCGCTGCTCGAGACGACAGAGTTATCCACACAGACTGTATGTCTGTGGTTATCCACAACTATGAGTGTCTATACACTACACCTACCATTGGTTACATTCTCACTATTCACTCGCAACTGTTCCCGACACACAATACTCACAGTTAATGTTCCGCGATAGCTGATTTTCGCGTATCATTGTTTTTGACTGCTTTTATGTGATCAAAAGATCACATCAAGCGGACAATAGTGTGCCGAATAAAAATTCGGCACACTATTGTCCGCTTTGTTTGGCCAATATACGAACTACCGCAGCTGCAGTCGATCTTGTATACACCAGGTTTTTCCAAAGGGAAGTTGTCTTTGGGAGATCGTAGAAACTGTGACGCTTTTGTAAAGGAGTGAAGACAGTATTGAGTCAGTACTTATTAAATATGTTCGAAATCTTGTCTTGTTGAGGCACCAGACACACAAAGTAGGCAGGCAACCAGTATTTTTGCCATATATCAAAGGAGTGACAGACAAGATTTCAAGATTTTTGAGTGCTTTTCTTTTAAGATCTTTCCATTCTGTATAATTTCGAGTACCGACCTTACCAGAACGCCGTTTGTTACTACAATCTAAAGGAAAACCAACCGGGGAAGAAATAGCGGACGATAATGGAGATGGAATCGTAAAGCTTAAAGTAGGACTGTTAAAATTTAAATCAGTCGTCAAAAGTGATAAGTTTTCACTCAGAGCAATCAATAGTTGTATTGGCAGCTTCTGATAGTATAATTTCATCCTCAAGAACCTCTGGTCCTTCTCAAATATTTTTTGGTGATGATGGTATACAATTTTGTCTTTGTACTTCTACCCTTTTTTCTTGAGCTATAACCTCCTCAGCAATGGGTAATTCTACAACATTATTCAATGGTGATAATTGTACATCGTTACTCGTTTCTTGTACTTTGTCTTATTTTTATGTTCTGTTTCTTCTTCTATAGTAACAAAAAGGTCTGGCAAATCATCATTATTGTTTAATTCTAAAAATTCTTCTGCTTCAACTTGCAATAAGAACTTGATCTCTTGTTCACAACCCGAGAACTGGAGAGAGAGAGAGAGAGAGAGAGAGGCACTGGAGAATCAATACAATTACTTATATCGATGGTAACATCTGTAAAAAAAGGTAAATCCTTCAGAATGGTAATTTTAAAGTCTTATGTGGTGTAGGATATTCGCAAATGTATGAATTTTGCCTCGACTTATGAAATGAAGGTACGAAACAGCCTTTATATTACTTTGTTGAAATGACGTGTATTTATTTAATAAATTAGATGAAAACGCATTGTAATCTGACATGCCTTTCGTTTAGTATTTAGAATATAGCAACTAACCTAATTTATATAACCAAAACTCATTAATTAGGTCAAAACAAATATTTTGATGTAGAATAAAGACACTAACGCAATTACGGCTTTTTCTTTTCCATACATTCGTATTTTTACAATTCCGCAGAAAAAAGCCCCAATCAACACAAGGGCCTTGTTCTGTGTTTTACAAGTATTATAACTACATAAACTAAAAGCATCTCATTATTAGGTTAATACCTAAGGAACTATAGTACGCACGATAAATGCACTCACAATCGCGGTCCGCGGAGTACTGACCGAGCGGCGCTCGCGCCTCCCGTCCCTCCCGCACGCACACAGTTCCAGTCCTAAAAGATGGCTCTAACGGCAATAGAGTCTATATTTTAGGTATTTTTTCCCCGTCATGAAATTGTGGCTTTACAATTAATTGAAATATCAAGAAAAGTTTTAAACTTTATTATACAGTTATTAGACTAAAAGATGCCTAAATTAATGTAGAATGTAAAAAAGAAATAAAAGAAAAAAGACCTTATGATTATAGGGGCAGTTTTCGAGGGATACGACGAAATATGCTTGGCTAAACTTTTTATAAGCATAGGTACCTACTATATATAAAACAGAAACAAAATACGACTGCATAGTATGGCTTATTAATTACCTATTTTACTTGAATGAACTGCTAGTATCAAAATCATTTTGGTCCGACTGTATAGGGTTGCTACATGCATACTAGTGGCGCCATCATTTAATGTCACGACTTTATAGACAAATTGTAACTCAGCTTTGGACTTTGGGGTCCGAATCGATCTCACTGAATGAAACACATTTTAGTAGGCCCGATTCTGACATGATTCTCTAAGCCTAATAAAATTAAATTTGAAAACGGTCTAGATCCTTGTCATGCTCTATTCCAAATGAGAAAGAACTGTTGATTGATTGTTGATCGAGAATTTTTACAGATTAAAAGTTTATGAAGTGGCATTAATTTAATCCCCCTAAAAATATTTTTCCCCATCGCGTTAAACTCCCCCAATCTGGCATCACTTTAATGTAAAATAAAAAGTTTTAAGTCAAAGTGACAGCGATCTGTGGTTGAATATCTTTATATATTTTTTATTTCTAAAAAACTAAAATATGAAGCTTAATAAAGCATTTAATCAAATTATATCATCTTATAAATTACCAACGGTATTATCTAGGCCCATGTCTACAAATAACCTGTCCAATCAAAATGCATTGAATTATTGTGCTAAAATTGTTAGGTAAAGATTACATGAAAAATTACTAATTTCAAAATAAACTATTGACTATTAGTGAAATTTCTTTCAGACGATATGCTGGTACTCCTTTATCATTTTACAGATAGACAGCACGATTATGAAAATTTTTTGGCAACGCTTCTCATGACAAAATCTATTAGATCACCAGCCCTGGTTGTGAGGGCCTTCAACGTAGAAGTAGCTCGAATACAAGATCAAACAACAGATCCTCAGACAGCTGCTTTTAGGCTGCAATTTTGGCAAGATGTCCTTACTAAGATTTACAAAAAAGAAACAGCTTTACAAAATATCCCAGCAAACCCTGTTGCTCAGGAACTGTATAAGGTAACTGAGTATTAATTTCTATAAAATTATGTGAACGGATATTTAAACAATATGCATAGCGTCCTTTTCCAATGTGTTAACTCTTAAAGATTGTGAGACCATGAAGACAGCACCCTAAACTCAACTTTCACAATGTTAGCACCTATCTGTTTTTTAACTTTTAAAGTTAAAAGCTGCTTAGATCTTTCTTCCCTTGCTTACACAATACCACTGTTCTTAGATATGCAATTGCTACTCCTTACAAAGAAAACATTTGGAAAGACTTATATCATCAAGAAGCAATTTACTGAAATCCAGATTCTTTAGATCTTTAGAAGATATTGAGGGATATGCAGAAGATGCTGTATCTCCTACATACTATCTTCTTCTTAAAGTAGCTGATGTGAAAGACTTACATGCTGACCATGCAGCTTCGCATTTAGGAAAAGCTCAAGGAATAGCTAATATACTGAGGTAATAAACTAATCTGTATTAAAATTACTGTAACTGTTTTTATTGGTGAAATAAATATTATCATAGCATTTTTAATTTACAGATCAATATTTGTTTTCAATAGACATAAAATGATTTCTTTGCCTATGGATATACTTATGGCAAATGAAGTTAGCCAAGAACAAGTTTTGAGGGGTGCAGATAGTGAAAAATTGAGGAATGTTACATTTGAAATAGCTACCCGGGCAAATAGTCATTTGCAAAAGGTAAAAATTGGCTTTTAGTACATAAAAATACATTTCCCATTAACATTGCAAGCATTTCTATTATATGATTATTTTCAGGCAAGAAAAATCAAAGTTCCTAAAATAGCAAATCAAATTTTTTTACCTGCTATTTCTGTGGATAAATACTTAACAAATCTACAAAAATGTAATTTCAATTTATTTGACACTTCATTGCAAAGACAAAATGCTACTTTACCTTTCAACCTTTACTATAATAGGATAATAAATAATTATTAATTATTACTCATCAAAACAAGTGTTTTTATTGCTACCCCAAATATTTTTTACTAATTGTAGCAGTAGTCCTGTAAACCATACTACTGAAACTTTTAAGTTACAATGACAACAGTTCACTTGTATGGGTCTCCCAGACTATTGAGCCTCACCTGGTATCAATAACTACTTCCGTTTTGACGAGAAGCTGTTGTTTGTGGTTTTCTTTTAGCCCATTTGAAATGATGAGGCTATAGTGAACTAAGTTAACCTTAAGTTTGCTGGAGATAAAGAAAACGGACAAGTTCTAGTCAGACTCGCCCACTCTTTGGGACTTACAACCAACTACTGCCACCAGATGTGAAGAATCACCTATCTAATACCAGCCATACACACTACGAGAAATCGTTACGATTAGACTGTACCGTCCGAACGGTACCGATAAATCGTAGCGTGTATGTTATAAAACTGCACAGTTTCCTATACGTACGCCACGTACGATAAACTGTTCCTTTCGAACTGTACAGTCTGATCGTAACGATTTCTCGTAGTGTGTATGGCTAGCATAAGAGAAGTAGGGGTAACGGATTTCCCCGCTCGGATTTGAGCGTCCGTCTCGAGAATAGAGCTGCGTGAAGCGAGTCTCCCGTCGCACGCGGCGCGGGGCGAAGGGGCACGCTCGATTGGCTATTGCTCTTAGGCTGGTTTCACAGCCATCCGGGAGACCCGTACGGGCTGTCAGTACGGGCGCCCGGAGCGGGAGCACATGTTAGGCACTAGAACATCGTTTCACAGCGACGCGTATGGTGCACCTAACATGTGCTCCCGCTCCGGGCGCCCGTACGGGTCTCCCGGATAGCTGTGAAACCAGCTTTATCTTTGAGGTCTTTTGACTAGGATATCAACAAAAAATCCATTACGATATCGATTTTTTACCCGCGTGATCGATTTTGTACTGGGTCCCCGGCGGACGTCCGCTGCGTGCATCCACTAAGGCGCAGGACACAGCAAAGATATAAAACGCAGACGGGAAGCGGACATATAACCCTTTCATACAAAATTTAAAAAAGCGTGTCCGCGCCCTTTCTTTTCTATAAGTTTTGCGTCGATGACGCGTGTATGAAAAGGACGCGGAGATTCAGCCGTGGTGTTTTCGCCTTAATTTGATGGGCTTCATATTACATTGAATTTTTGAGATATAGCTGTAGTGCAGCCAAAACGTCAAGGCGTTAAAGCTGTGCCGCCAAAACACCCATTTAAATTATAAACCGGTGCGCTGACAAAATGAAGACAAGACTAGGTACTTTTGCACAAAATTAGCCATTTATTGACAGGAAGGTGTATTCCTTTTTATACGTAAATCGGAGTTGGTGGAGTATATACAAGCACAACGTATTTGTGAGGTCAATAAAACAATCACTGAATTGGAAAAATTGCACTGTTTACTTTTAAGCTTCCTCATGCAAATAAATACTTATTAATGACAATTTGAGATTCAAGCAATATTTAGTTATGTGTTTGTTTGGCAACATGAGTACTTATAAGTATCTTACATAAAATCTAGCTAATTCTACCATAATAGTCCTGTAAGTACTGGAAAATTTAGTTAACCACTTGTTCTGAACATGCTAGGAGAATCCTAGATTGGAAGAGAAACGAAAAATCTTCGTTTTGCTCTACTTCCAATGTAGCTTGCACTTTATGCAAAAAACGGACCATTCTATATATATTTTAGTGATTGGTTATTGCTTATTAGCACTGCCGGATTTAGAGAAGGGTAACCGGGGCGAAAGCCCCGGGGCCTCCACAAACGGGGGGCTCCCACAATAGACTTCGGAAAAAAAATCTTTCAAATTCCAAACACTAGTAAACATCTTTTCCTTTGATATTTTTTTGCTCTTTTACCTTTACCTACAGCCAGGGCCGAATTTAAGGTGGGGCTGTGGCCCAGGGGCCTGCACAACAGCTTAAGAAGTAACAATATTTCGATGGGTCAACAAGCATGCAAATCCTATGTGGCCCGGGGCCTCCACAACAGGATAAAAGATAACAAAATTTCGATGGGTTAACAAGCATACAAATCCTAAGTGGCCTGGTGTCTCCACAATCCTAAATCCGGCTCTGCTTATTAGCAACTGATTTAACAATATTTTGTTAAATCAATTTTTGATAAGCTCATTAAATAAACTAATCTTGTCTATAAAGCTGTAAGGCTAAGAACTCATACAGATATACAAAACAAAATTATACAAAATCGCACCATGAGTTTTGCTTTTTGTGTTTTACCAACAGTTAAAAAAAATAGGAAGAAAGGAGGGAGAAAATAGTTCTGTGAGTTCTTAGCCTAAGAGATCTCCTCTAAAGCATATACAAGAGGATTCATGTGTGCACACTTCTTGTGAAATAAAAAAAAAGCATAAAAAGTATAAACTCATCCATTTGCAAAGATCATCAATTGTGATAAAATGAAATATGATGATAAATATGGAAAAATGAGTTTAAATTTCTTTTCAGATTCATGTCATCACACCATACATAGATATAGGTACCTCAATTTGTTCTTTCTTTTCTCTGAGTAAAGTATCAAAAAAATAAATTTAACTTTGGTTATGAAAGTTTGAAAATCTTTGGTTCAATTCCATAATAGGATCATATTTAAAAGAATAACTTACATGTACTTCATCATGGACTAAGTTCTGCATATAGAACAAAATTATTATATTGATTTGTAAAAAATAGTACATAAATAATAAGTATATTGCATTTTACAGCTGCCACCTTAGTAACCTTAACTTTATTGTAAGAACAAACCATCTGTATACTTCCAATATCTCATAATCACAGGAGTTAAAGATGAATTGACATGAAAATTAAATTTTCCTGCATTCAATGAACATTGTAAAAGAATAGAAACACAGCCAATAAGAAAACTAAGTCTAATTTGGAATGTAAACATTAACAAAGTATAAAATATTCCTAAATACATTCTAAAGCTTATTATAAAAAGCTAACTGTAAGTACTGAGCCGAGTATCACAATGAGCCTGCTGCACAATAAAAAGCTACAAAATTCATAATCAATAGTTATTAAAAACCTCTATTCAGAGGGTGTTAAATCCTTTTCTGGTTCACCTTCAGATAATATCTGCTGTAGAAGATCGTATACTGGTTCAAAAGCTTTACGACAAGCTGCATTTGTAGGAATAAGATAGTCATGCATATCATGATGACTTATAGTGCCATCATTTTGAATAAAACCTTTATCTATTGCAACCATCTCCACCTTATTCATGTTGGAAACTTTCTCCTTTAAAAGTTGATTAATCTTAGAGTTTTTGTCTCTCAACACATTTGGATACTGCCCACGTGGAAGTAGACTCTGAAATATAAATTATCATTTTATATTATTATATAAAAATAAAGTTGCATGAAACTAACTTACATAAAGTGATATAAATAATTACTTACAGGAAGTACAATTGAAGCACTTGGATGTTTCTCTCTAATAGTTCTTATAATCTCTAAAATACCCTCACATACCTGCTCCGGAGTATGTTCAACATTATTTGTGCCCACATGCACTACTACAACCTGATAAAAACAAAATTAAACTAACATTAACATATGAAAGATTTTGCCATTACCAGTAAACTAGATAAACTCACTTAAAAAGTAATGTTTGTTTTAATATCTCACCTTAGGTTCAACATGATCAAGTTCTCCATTTTTTATGCGCCACAACACATTTTGGGTCTGATCTTTGTGTATGCTAAAATTAAGGCAGTGAAGAGGAGCAAACCATTGATTCCACACTTCAGTATGTTCTAGGGCTTGTAATATTGAATCCCCTATAAAAATAACATCGGCATCTTTTCCTTTTGCATCGGACAAGAATCGGTTGTGCTAAAAATTATATTATTAATTGACTTCAGTTAAATTATGAAAATTTCACTACTAAAAAGGATATCAAGACAAGTTAAACATTCAAGTACACGTAGAAATCTAGAAATAACAGACCACGATAATAAATTACAGATATAAATGATAACTTACAATACTGTTCCATCTTCCGTCACCTTCTGAATCTATCTGAGGAGTAGCAGCAGAACAAGGATTCATTCTAAAGATAATAGCACTTTTTTCCGAGTTAATTAAATTAAAGAAATAGTAGTTTAATGGCTTGGCGGTCCAGCTAGGGACACGAAAAAAGTATCGATACTTTGTGGTATCGAGTACTTTTCCTTTCGATACCGATACTTTTGTACTCGATACTTTGTATTCGATACTTTTACTAAATGAGTACTTTTTGGCAAGTATCGATACCTTTGAAAATTTGGATAAGCGCCTCATATTAATGGCAACGCTAACTTGTTAAATCATAGCAAACCTTCTAAAATGTTCCATTGCGTTGTTATAAAGTCAGTAACTGACATATTCAAATTCTTTCCAATCTGTGCCTGTGTTTATTTTGCGCTTTGTTTTGTTTCATAGTTATTTATTTAGCGACCATATTATATAAAACTGTGATTGATTCGCGGTTTATTGTGCTTTTCGTTTGACTGTATTTGATTTATTCAAGTGTAACACTATTATTCTGTCTGTGCTGTGTATACCTATTTGAAACCACGGACCTGAAAACAAAACGGACGTAACCTCTTCTATAATTATAATCTTGAGTGAAGCATGCCAATGGCCGCCGTTAACTGCGTGTCAGGTCCAAGTTAACATAAGTGGGTATAACGTTTTTTAATGATTAAAATTCAAGAAAAGTAAGTTTAATTTGTAACAAATCTGAATAGTTTCATACTTTTAAATTGTTTAAGATCTTATTAATTAACATTTTAATTATGAATGTAATATTAATGAACACTTTTTAAGTGTCAGAAATCACAGCTGTTTTCTTTTCATTATTTATTCAATTACGCACCTTTAGTTCTGTAGTTGATTATTTAAACAATACACATTTTTAAGAGTAGCTAGATAATATAGCAATTTGTGAATTTACATGTCCGTTTTCTGTTTCAGATTATACGTACTATAATAAAATTTGATTGTTTTACTTTCAAATGTACTCGATACTTTGAAGTATCGATACTTTTTTTTCAATACTTTTACGAGTAGGATACCTTTTTTCCGATACTACTCATGAGTACAGTATCGATACTTTCTATTCGATATCGTGTCCCTAGGTCCAGCAATGCTGTATGTCAGTGATGTCAGTGCACCTTCACACTGACAGTGACAACTTGACCAATCTGTCGGAATGACAGCATTTTCTTTTCTAAATGGCTTCGCAACTCTTGTACATTTAGCCAATGTTGTCGATTCTGGCATGATTCTCTAAACCTAAACTTAAATTTGACAACATTGCATCCTTATCATTCTCTATCAAGAGTGAAATGGAGAGGCTGATATTAAATTTAGTTTTAAGTTTAGAGAATCATGCCAGAATGGACACCAATGTCAAGTGTTAAAATGTGTACAAATACTTATAGTACTCGTGGTCAAAGTAATAAATCAAGTCAAAATAAGTGGCAGTCAATTCAATCCCCCTTTTCTTATGTTTCAGTTGTTGCGGTTGGTGTATCCATGGTTCATGGTTTTGTGTCACATATGAAAAAAAGGAAGAAGCTTGACATATAGGTAGAATAAAATAAAAGACTAGATGACTGATAATTGAATATTAGTTTTATTATAATGAATTTTTCTTTTATCTTCATATGGTAGCATAGTATTGGTTCGTGATAGGAAAAAATATTCTGAGAATTGTGAAGGAAAAGTAATCATGGCAACCAAACCAGAAATTACAAAATTCCACATCGGATACTTGGATGGTAACAACTTCGGTATGGAAGTACAAGATAAGTATGTTAATGAAAGGTATCCCAAAAGCATTAGACTTACTTAAAGGAACATACACGATGCCGGTTCTAGAGAATGATGCGTCAAGCACTGAGTCTGTCCAAGCTAAGGAAAAATTCTTAGAACTGGATAGCATGCTACTTGTTATCCTTACGACCAATATGGAAGCAGAGGCGGCGTAAGGCGTGGGCGACGTAAGCCACCGCCTACGGCCTCGTGGTACAAGGGGCCTCGCGCCTCAAAAATTTTTATGAATTGCTTAAAAGAGAATTTCATTTTTTTTTATTATTTTATAAGATCCATCTTCAGGTCGCCACAGAACAGGGCCCCGCGAAATCTGTCTTGCCCACATCAAATTTAGGTCTTGCCTCGCCACTGTATGGAAGACCAAATAGTCCAAAGAATTATGAGATTTGAAATATCAAAAGAAGTGTGGGACGAACTTAAAACACTATTTGATGGAGATGGAGAAGATCTGGTCTATGAAATTTGTTTGAAATTCTTTGAGTTTAGTGTATTCTTTCTTTTACTCAGACGTGTGTGGACCCTTTCCATACTCAAACAAAGGCTTTCGTTATTTTCTTCTTTTCAAAGATGATTTCAGCAAATACCGATATATTTACTTCATGAAACACAAATCTGAAGTCCACTCAAAACTTCAATTAATGTTAAACGAAAGTAAGGCAGCTGGTCATATAATAAAAGAACTCTTAGGCGACAATGACGGAGAGTACGATAATGGAAAAACCCAATCAATACTGCAGAAATATGGCATCAAGCAAAGATTGATCATGCCATATACACCACAGCAAAATGGGTGCAGCGAGAGGGAGAATCGGACACTCGTTGAAGCCGCTCGAGCAATGATGTATGCACATGGAGAGTTGCCAGTTGCATGTTGGGCAGAGCTAATAAATACTGCCGCATGCTTAACAGGAGTGGACCGGACGTACTCCAGTAAACGGAAAATCACCATATGAACTATGGTTCAACAAAAACAGATTAAACATTTGCGTATAATTGGAAGCACTTGTTACGCTCATGTACCCAAACAAAAGCGAAACAAAATGGACAAGAAATCAGAGAAATGTTTATTAATCGGGTATGATGGTGATGATGGGTACCGTCTTCTAAGCATCGGCAACAACAAACATATAGGCTAGTACGTTACAGAGATGTCATATTTCAGGAGTCATCAGCTATTACCAACAATGATACTTTTGAAGAAAAACCTGGAACTGAAATAGAAATAAACTTACGTAGAATACCAAATCTTGTTGCAAGGGAGGAAGTAACTCAGCCGATTCATGATGTAAGCAAGGAAGAATACGAAAGTACTGGTACGTTTCAAGATCGTTTACCCCCTGAATCGTATGATGATGCGCCTGAGATAAAGGACAGTATAAAAGTTCCATCACCTTCACATTTTCAAAATGAAGAAGATGACGTACGTGATTAGACATTACCTGAACGTTTGGAAGAAAACGATGAAGATGAGAATTTGCAAGATAGTGAAATCGAAGATCAAGGAAGAATGACTCTTAGAGATAGATCCTCACTGCGACCACCTGCTAAACTAGGAGACTACGTCATGACTTCAGTGGGTGATATGTCTTTCGTGAACCAACTGCCTATAGTGAAGTCCTAACGAGTCAAGATAAAGAAGAATGGATAAAAGCAATGAAAAGTGAGATTAAATCTTTAGAAGAGAATAAAACCTGGACTCTCGTCGATCTACCCAAGGGTCGTAAGCCTATTTCATGCAAATGGATCTTTAAATTAAAAACCAATGCTGATGGTACTGTTATATCGAGCCTCGGAATTGGCGTTTTAAAAAAAGGATTAATGAAATTAAACATAGAAATTATAGTGTAGGTGAATTTGGCAGCCGTCACGGAGGTTCGGGAGAGACTGGCGTGCTCGAGAGGCGAGCGCGTCGGCTGGGGACAAAATGCTGATGCTGTAGCATCAGCTGGCCTGTCAGCTCAACAGCTAACATCTAAGGGATGTAACACCTCCCCCCTAAGAGAATAAACTTCAGGGTTAGTACTCTGAAGTTTATGTTACTTATTGACGTTAATTTAGAGGTTTCTTCTGATTTTAGGAGAAGGAGGGATTTCTGGGCGTTCGATCTTTGTCTGTATGTCGGTTAGTTCTACAGTTTCAGGTTCTGGGTTATTTCTTACTATATTCTTCCTGAAGACTATTTTAGGGATCCGTCGGTGATGACTGCCAGTCTTATTTATTCTTTTAAATAAAACAACGATACAGGATAGTAATGCGATAACAATGAATAATATAAAAAGTACAGAATAATGTGGCCCATATTTAATTAAATGGGGTTTATTTACAATTTCGTTCAGTTCTTTTAACATTTCTTTGTCTACATTGTTGGAAATAGGTAAGTCTTCGAAATTTAAACTATTCAGTTTTAGTGAGGGCATGCTATTCAAATTTTCCTTGAACTTATTTAAGTTACAACATGAATCGTTGATCAAATTAAAATCTAGGTTAACTGACTGCAAAGGTAAGTTTAGGACATTAACATCTGGTATAAGTTTGGCGCTTCTACAATAAGCTTTGCAATGCATTGGTATATTTACAATTCCAGTACCTAATATGTTTATATCTAATGGTTCTGAATTAAAACAATCTATGGTTAATTTACTGGATTTAGACTGTACAAATATCCATCTATTGTTATATAAAGGTTTCCAAATATCGAGTTCGCCTGTAATAAACTCTGTTTTACAGTATTTCGGAAGGGATGAAACTACTTTAGACAATAATTCACTCTCGCAGTTAGGGTTAGCAGACGTCGGAAAGACATTAGTGATTTTACACAGATAATCCTGATTTTTTATAGCTTTACAAGTTGACAAATCATTCATATTACTATAATGAGTTTTATCCTTAGTTATAGCTATGTACTTACTGCTAGGGATTATGGTACTAAATGAATTTGGGTTGGTTATGTTGTGAGGTACGGGTAACGGGATGTTGTTATACAAATACAATTCTAATGGGTTTACAAGATGGATCATTACTACAAACATTATTTTCTTATTAGCATAATAACTGATTAATTTTGACGTATTTATAATTACATGAATAAATCTTAATTCTAAAGGAACAACAAATTTCAGTTCGCCAGGTAAGTACTTATAATTATCAACTAATTCATTATACAGTTCCTGTGGAGTTATAACAGATGGGTGAATAATGTTTGCACTACTAAATAGTATTGCATTTGTTATATCTTCGAGTTGAAAGGATAAGGTAAGCATTGCTGCTTCTAAATTATTGTAAATTGTATTCAATCCAGAGATTG